CAACCAAATCACAGCACGTAGACAAGTCGATCGATACTGAGACTAAGTGCATGCCTAGTCTACTAGGTGCTTCAATGTATGCAACTTTACTGGCGGCCGCGGCGAGACTAAGAACCCACCAGATGTCCCGTTGCGGTTATCCTTAAGGTACATGGTGCCGAGCGCAGCGTCAAACGTGCGTGTCTACCCCAGAGACCAAGTGGTGGCGTAGACACATTGAACAGCTTCGCCCTCGCTATGGGGTGAAGATGGACATGGACTCCCGAGAGAACCCCCGGAGTTAATCAGTTCCGCGCTATCCTGCCAACTCCGCCTATCACCACCGAAAGACAGGACGGTTACCCACTGGAGACCACACCGAATCCATGATCATGCAACGTACGTGTAAACCACACCCGAACCTGAACGAGCGTTCGCAATATCGTCCGCCTTCCAGAGTGACAATACGGCGCAGATAATCCGAGACGTTCCAGTCAAACAGCCGTTAAGCGCGACGAAGGTTATCATAGCTATACCCCCTCTCCGCCTCCTCGGTGGACTCGAGGCTGTGGGAGTGTGACATTATGTTCATTTTCCCTATAAGGCCCATAGTGCGCGCAATTCCTATTTTCCTAAAGCCATGTGCCTTGCGGTGTCACTCTAACTTACGTGGCAGGCTGGAGAGTTGCTGAATAGATACTTTTTGGAATTTACACATATTATACGTCAGCTCTTACCGACTTACTCTCTAGATAATACATACATAATGTCCATGAAATCATTGTAAAACGAACCAGACGAGTGTGACACCACAGACGGGTTGTGTTATATAATATGCTATATAATTGCCAAACCTTACCTAATTTGCATATTTTTTTTTTAAATTATAAAACCCCTAGCCCTTATTCATTCATATACCAAAAATGAGCAAAATCCGTTGAACCTGAACTGACTAATGGGCCATTCTCAGATAAAGCGTACAAAACATCATTTTTGACGTGATTTTGGCGATAGCTCGTATATGTTAGAGGTCAATCTCTGCATATTACCTCGACCAATATTAAGGGCAATGCTGGTATTCGAGACCAGTGTAAAGACGGTGCATTGTTCGATAAGAACATATCATCAAAAGTGAAGGCGAATCACAATGATTATCTAAAGTGTGCGCCAGTGTCCGTCATTGAGAAATGCTAATGCTGGAATATGCTTTGCAGCCACACGTGAGATCAAAACCAAGTAGTCACTCTTGAGGTGTTTCCAGTCGTCTCTACTGTGTGTGAAGGGATCTACTGACACATCTCTGTAATCGGCCTGTGGTCTCGCAGCAGACAGATCCTCAAATGACACATTCTGGACACTGACTGATAGCTAAGTAAGTGTGCTGGGACTAAAAGTAAAAGGAAGTCTACATAAACGACAATAAATATAATAATTAACATACTCGTAAATAATAGATGTATTACAGATAGAGATAGAATGTAATTATAAATGAATAAATGCTGAATGTTGTAATTATACTGTAACATACCCCCTTTCTTTACTTTATCATTTCCCTTTTTGTCATGTTTCCCTTACTTGACCCCCTTGTGTTATGTCGCAATACCCCCTCCGGCCGTTACCACCGGTCTAAGTAGCCCCACCAGGCTGTGTGACTAACGTCAATATACACATCTTGATTTATGACCGTTTCTTGGAGCTACGGTCTAAGATACGATTGCTGGATTGTGAATTCGGTTGAACCGCCGTGTGGTGTGCAGTGCGAACGAGGAAGACATAGATCAACAACGAAGATGAATTACTTTATGCATCGGTCATTCAACTAACGCGTTTAATCAATAAATAACGTCAGACTAATACACTTACATATATACGTGGATCGGCTATATACGATAGGTAGATTCGTAACACAATAAGAACGTGACACAGTAAAGAGCCGGCTTAAAGCACATCAGGGATGAGTACCACCCAGAGAGAGCCAAGAGAGGGAGAGAAATTGTTAAGCTCCCTTATATACGATCACGGCTCAGTTACTCCTGATTGGTCAAACGGTGGATTGAGATAGCGTTATTCTGCGATTGGCTAGAACAAAGCACGATTAGCCATTCTGATTGAAGGCTATACCCAGCTAACACGGTTACGTAGTAACTACGTAGTTACAACGTAGTGGTTTGGTAGATGTTACGTAGTTTTTTTACGTAGTTATTACGTAAAATTCTGGACTACCAGCAACGTTTTTACTACGTAGTGACATTACGTAGAGAAATTACGTACCCACCACCTTCATACTACCTTATGGCACCTTGCCACTACCTTACGGGCACTTTCTCACCACCTGTATGGGCTCATTTTCACATCCTTTCTGGTTCCTTACAAAACCCCGGTAATTGTATTGTAAGCGGGCAGATTGCAGATGCCACGAGAGAGAGCGATAGCGATGCGGGGGAAATGCAATCTTGGCGCCACAGTGTCGGGAGAGGTGTCACAACATACTAAGAATGGACACTACGCGAGCTAGTTAGCATGTACGAGACCAAGCAATGATCGAGCGCGGAGCTAAGGTTCCCCGGGCATTGCGCATGTGACAACCTAGA